TCTTTCATGTTGACCTTGGAGAATATGATGACTGAGTGTGTTGGGGACGGTCATCTTGTATATGGTCATCTCATAAGAGTTCTCTGAATTTCCTGAACTTGAATGTTGATTTCTCCAGTGAGGTTGGGGACATTTTTCTGGATAATATCATCAGATATGTTTTCCAAGTTTCTTGCTCTCTTTCCCTCTCTTCAGGGACACCGGTGCATTGTAGGTTTGAGTTTCTTACATAGTCCTATATTTCTCAGAAATTTTGGTCATTTTCTAAAATTCTTTTTTCCTTTTTTGTGTCAGACTGAGCCAATTCAAAGAACTAGTCTTTGAGCTCTGAGATTCTTTCTTCATGCTGGTCTATTCTGATGTTAATACTTCTGATTATATTATGAAATTCTTATAGTGAGTTTTTCAGCTTTATCAGATCAGTTTGGTTTTTTCAGAAAATGTCTATTTTGTATTTTAGCTCTTGGATCATTTTACCGGGTTTCTTCGTTTCCTCTTATTGGTTTCAATTTTCTCCTGAATCTCAGTGATCTTTGTTGCAATGCAGAGTCTGAATTTTTTGTCTGTCATTTCAGCTATGTCAATCTGGTTAAGAATGATTTCTTGAAAACTAGTGTGGTCATTTGGAGGTAAGAAGACACTCTGGCTTTTTGAGTTGGGTCTTTGGAGAAATATATATATATATATACACACACACACACACACACACATATACACACACACACATATGTGTGTGTGTGAGAGAGAGAGAGGGAAATAAAATAAATAAGCAAGATTGGCTTTGCTAAAGTAAGTATGGCAAAAGGACAAATTAAGTGAGGGTAGGAAATGTGAAAATCATTGGAGGGCAGGCTGGAAACATGATAATAATTGTTAGCATTTCCCACTGTTATCTTGGAAAATTTCATGTCTTGCACACAGTTCAGCTTAGTTAAGATGTCTGAATTAATAGCAAACATCCAATAATTACATAAAGAATAGGTTAGAAAAAAATGGCTTCTTGAGATAATGAAATGGGAATCTGTTTACCCTTGAGGTTTCTCCTTGCCTGACTGTTGACATAATACAAGGTTCTGTTGTCTCCCAAAGTGTAGATTATTCCTCCAGGCACAATTGTTTTAAGAACTTTTATGGTTTTTGCCTTGGCGAGATCTACCTATAAGGAAGAACAATGAGCAGGCTCTTGAATCACAGTCACGTTTGATAAAGGAATGTGGAAGAGTTCAGCTCATTCTAATGAGCATTTCATCAGAACACAATAGGAGCCTCCTGGGGTTAGTACTGTCCCAGAATGAGAGCCTGTAAATGAGGCTGCTTCCATGCAGTGAGCTTCCTTATAGAAAGGGTTTTATGAAAAACAACAAGAATAGGATTGTTAGTTTTGTTAAAAGGTGAACAAGAGTGAGGGCGACTCTGCCCAGACTTCTTAACTTGGGTGTATGATCTTAGATACAGAGAAAAGGTAAGACTAAGGCTGCACACTGCCCTAATAGTAAATGTAAAGGGAATATAAAATAATGAATCCTCTTGTGGAAAATAACATATTTGTAATCAAGATGATCAAAAAGAGTAGGATGAAGTACAAATATTACAGCAAGGAAAGCAATAGGGCGAAAAAATTATCAGTTGTAACCTAAAAAGATACATTTTAAGTGGAAATATGAAGGCTGAGGTGGAGAATATAGTCATGCTATCTGGAGAGACATTTCATAGTTCCTAGGTGCAAGATGTCTGACAGAGGACAAGACTTTGGAGGATTTGGGGGATAATAAACAAAGAGCTTATTATATCTCAGTTTCAACATTTGTGATTCATCAACCAAAGTGGGGGAAGGAATAGGCTAGAAACAATTAGAAATAGAATTTAGATCAGAATGCATTAAATAAATCATATTCCTAACATATAATTTAATAGATCAGTAGGTTTACTCTAGTTGACAATACTCTATTGTACATTTCAAAATAGCTGCAAGAGAATACTTCATATGTTTAGATACAATCTAAAACATCATTCCTAATGGCCACAGCATTCCTAATGTTAGGTAAATGTACTAAAATTTATTTAACTTGTTTTATATCATTGGACAACTAAGTTGTGTGCTGCTTTGATAAAGAAAGGGTAAGTATTTAAGGTGATGGATATACCAATTACCCTAATTTGATCTTTACACTCTATATGAATATATCAAATTATCAAATATGCCCTGAAAATATGTGGATCCATTCAAAACAGTAAAGACCCATGTGTTCCTTGGTGCTCCCATCAAAGAGGAAAGTCAAGAATAAGCAGGGATGGGTCTTGACACTGTAGCTCTCTCCCTCCTTCATAACTCTAGATGTTCCTGAAGCATCAGATGGGAACTGAAAAATGAGAGAGGCTTATCTGTCCGTTTCTAGGAATTCTTCCTTTCATTTTTGTTCTTGCAGATTTCAGTTTAGTTTACTGTCTCGAGATGTTCAAGTACTGGCTTTGTGTGTATCCCTGTATTTCTCCTAAAATAATTTATGTCTTTCCCTAGCACTAGCATTCTTGATCTCTCAAAGTTGCCTACCAAACTCTGATGGGAGCAATATTAAGATATTGGAAAAGAGATGAATCCTTGGGATTCATCTGGCTCTTAATCTGGCTCTGATGGGAGCAATATTGAGATGCTAGAAAAGAGGAAAGGTACAGAGATGAATCCTTGAAGGAGTCAGCCAAGGAGTGCTACCACTTCTCTTTTTTCTTATAATTAGCTTCAAAATTCAATTTTGCTTTGCTTGGAAAAAAATAAACTCTCTATGTTATTATATTTTTATTTTCTTAATGGATAAATCTACAGTCTTTGCCACCTTTTCCTTCTTGGAAACCATTGTCTCTCACCCTTTTCCCATGAAGAGACTTACTCTATCTTTCTTCCTTCCCACCTCTTCTTCTCTTCACCTTTATACATCCACATTGGCAATTGCATGTGGCTCTACCATGAATGAGTAATAGGATCACAACAGCATACAGTGTGAGCTTTATCCATGGAAACAGAACATATAGGAAGAATAGAGACAAAAGAACAGACACTGGAAAATGTAAGTTTTATTTCTCTTTTAAGTTGTTGCTACATGTATGATGTTTAGAGTAAAAACAAGCACCAAGAGATGTCCTTAAAATGGAGTTTTTAAAAATTAATTTATTTTTTTTATTGCATTTTAGGTTTTGGGGTACATGTGCAGAACATGCAAGACATTTGCATAGGTACACACATGGCAGTGTGTTTTGCTGCCTTCCTCCCCTTCACCCACATTTGGCATTTCTCCCCAGGCTATCCCTCCCCAGCTCCCCCCGCACTGTCCCTCCTCTCTTCCCCCCAATAGACCCCAGTGTTTGGTACTCCCTTCCCTGTGTCCATGTGTTCTCATTTTTCATCACCCACCTATGAGTGAGAATATGCGGTATTTCATTTTCTGTTCTTGTGTCAGTTTGCTGAGAATGATGTTCTCCAGATTCATCCATGTCCCTACAAACGACACAAACTCATCATTTTTGATTGCTGCATAATATTACACTGTTGGTGGGAGTGTAAACTAGTACAACCATTGTGGAAGACAGTGTGGCGATTCCTCAAGGCCTTAGAAATAGAAATTCCAATTGACCCAGTAATCCCATTACTGGGTATATATCCAAAGGACTATAAATCGTTCTACTATAAGGACACATGCACATGAATGTTCATTGCAGCACTATTTACAATAGCAAAGACCTGGAACCAACACAAATGCCCATTGATGATAGACTGGATTGGGAAAATGGAATTTTGATTCTTTATTGAAGGTAATTTACCAACTTAGCATCCCAAATGGTGACTGTCTTTGTAATTTTTACACTTTCTGAATTTAATATTATTTGGGTCTTTTTATTCTAAAAAAAGCCAGAATGAATCAAATAATAAAGAACCAAGCCAAAGGAATAACCTATGATTAGTCTTTTCCCTTGGAGTTTCAATGAGAGAATTGTTAACACTTTTCTCCATTAACTTGCCTAATTATCATGTTAAATTTTTATTTTATTATAAAAGTGATATGTATGTTTATTCTAGAACATGTAGTTCACAAATACTAACCTTCTCAAAATTCTCTATCCAGAAATTATCCTTTGGTTTTTTCATATATTTTCTTATGATTGTTTTAATGCATATCTAATGAACTATAGCCATACTGTGTATATTGCTTTTTATCATACATTTTAAGCATAATCTTATACTGTGAGTTATTTTTTTTTTTTTTTGAGACGGAGTTTCGCTCTTGTTACCCAGGCTGGAGTGCAATGGCGCAATCTCGGCTCACTGCAACCTCCGCCCCCTGGGTTCAGGCAATTCTCCTGCCTCAGCCTCCTGAGTAGCTGGGATTACAGGCACGTGCCACCATGCCCAGCTAATTTTTTGTAATTTTTAGTAGAGACGGGGTTTCACCATGTTGACCAGGATGGTCTCGATCTCTTGACCTCGTGATCCACCCGCCTCGGCCTCCCAAAGTGCTGGGATTACAGGCTACTGTGAGTTATTTTATCATAAACTTAGGTACAATCTAAAACATCATACATGATGGCCAGATTCCTAATGGCCATATCATTCCTAATATTATGTAAATGCACTAAATGTACTTAAACGTATTTAACTTGTTCCATATCATTGGACAACTAAGTTGTATGCTGCTTTGAATTATCCTGTGATGAATATTCTTGCATAAAGATTATATAGTTATCTCATAGTTATCTCTGATTATTTCCTTAGTAAAATTCCACCCAAATTAATTCCTTGGTCAAAGATTGTGAGTATTCTCAAAATTTTTTATCCACATAGCCAAATTGCTTTCCTGAAAGATTTCAGAAAGTTGTACTTCATCTCTACAAGTTAATATCCACATTTTCTCTAATACGAGGTCTGTGATTTTTGTAAGACCCTAAAATCGGTGGATAAAATGTTTATTAATTCTTTTTATTTAATTATAAATTATAGGTTTAAACCTGTATTAGGTTTAATATAATTTTCATTTAAAGGATTAGAGTAAGGTTTATTCAGAACTGTAGAATATGTCATATAAGAAATAACATAATAGTTGATACTAAATTTTTATAGATGTCACCTATTAAATAAAAGAGACCTGAAAATTTATGACTGAGGAAATTTAGGGAAACCAAAGACCAACGAAGTGAATGAAGATGTACCTCAGGAAATGTGATAGATGCAAAAACAGAAAACAAAAAGACTGAGAACCTAATGTGTTGAATGACTTGTGATGAAAGACAGTTATGAATGGCTGACCCAATTCTATCTAATACATAGAGCTCAAAAAGCAATGAAGTTTTAGTGTTTTCAGTACTATTCAGAAGAAATGTTTCTAATCCTTTTGTAAGTAAATTCCTACAGTGGTGATAGACATCTTAGGAAACAAGAGCCATCCTTAATTCTTTGGCTTCTGGATAAAGGTAACAAATTTATCATGTGTATTTTTCTTCCATCTCTCTACAGATTTCAGCAAAATAATCTTATAATAATAGAAAGGGAAATCTTATAATAATAAATGGAAAGGGGAATAAGCAGATGTGATATTTTAATGAATTTTTAAGTGACAGAAAGTAGCAATGAGAAAAATATCCCTTAGGATACCCAGGAAAGGATTGCAATGGACGAGAGTGCCGATATTCCTGGCAGGGACACAAGGCCCCAAAGGAGCCAATTCTCAAAGAGAGTAAGAGGAAGAATAGGGGAAGAGTGCAGAATATAGGGGTATTAACCAAAATGAAAAAGTCTTCCTATAATACATCAAAGCTAGCCACCTCATATACATCCTTCTCTCTTCCCCATCTGAAGACTCAGATCAAGATTACCTAGCAGTTTACCCCAGTGAAAACTTGTTCATTCTTCTCTAGAAAGAAAAAGATTTAGGGCTATTTAATTGACTATTAGCATCCCAGAGAAAAGTCTTCATTTTTATTTGGGACAAGTAGCATAAAGACAATCTACCCATATAACTACGTAGAAGGCTTTTCTGTTCCCCCAGGAGAATATAATAGTGTGGACCCATATATACAAACACAATAGCATAAGAAATTGATACTTGCTACCTAAAACAAGCAACCCCAAGGCACTGGATCTGATAAACCAGCAGCATAAAAGAGAAAAGTCAGTATAAGAAAAAACTGAATATAAAAAATAAAATAAAAGTCTGAATAACTGACTCCAGAAGAAATGTCATACATTCAAGTTACAAAAAAATGAACAAAAAAGAAAGAGCTCATGGGCATGAAACATGATTGCAAGAGTAATAGAAACATTAATTATGAATTACTAATGTCCCAGGACATAGACTAGAAAGACAAGAGACAGAAAATACTAAAAAAAAAAAAGGTGGGGGGGAGAGGGATAGCCTGGGGAGAAATGCCAAATGTGGGTGAAGGGGAGAAGGAAAGAAAAGCACACTGCCATGTGTGTTCCTATGCAACTGTCTTACATGCTCTGCTCATGTACCCCAAAACCTAAAATCCAATAAAAAATTTAAAAAAAAAGGGGGGGAGAGATTAATTAGACAGGTGTGGTATCCAATTAGAAAGAGTTTCAAAAAAATGCTGGGGAGAAAATTGGGAGAATAGATAATTAAAGAAACTATACAAGAAAATTTCTCTGAGCTGAAGGGGGCATATATCTTCAAATTCAAAAGGTCTCCTAAGTTTATCACAGAATTAATAAAAAAAAATCTACATGCAGTAACATCCTTATAAAATTTAGGGACAGGAAGAATAATGATCTCAAAAAATTACCAGGAAGAAAATACCAGAAAAGGAATGGTTGCAGACTTCTCATCAGCAATGTTAGATGATATGGAACAAAGAACTAATACCTTCAGCAATCAGGTATGAATGTAAAATGAAAATACTTTCTGACCTGCAAAGACAGAGAAAGCTTACTGCCAATTATTACATGATTTGGTAGATACCTGAATCTGTACAAAAAAAATGTGAGAATTGCTTTTGCTTCACATCCTCACCAAAACTTCTTGTCTTTTGTCTTTTTGACATAAGCCACCCCGACAGGTATGAGGTGATTTCTCACTGTGACTTTGATTTGCATTGTTATGATGAGTAGTGATGTTCAGCTTTTTTTCCATATAGGTGATGGCCATTTGTATGTCTTCATTGGAGATATGTCTATTTAGGTCTTTTGCTCATTTTTCAACTGGGTTGTTTTGTTTTCATTTGCTTGCTGCTTAATCATTATATATTTTAGACATTAATCCCTTATCAGATTTAGAGTTTGCAAACATTTCCTTCCATTCTGTAGGCTTTTTACTCTTACACACTGTTAAACACTTACATACTTTGTAGATAGTAGAAATAAGGTCAAGGGAGCTATTGTATAGCATAGTGACTATAGTTAATGACAATGTGGTGTCTCCTTGAAAATGCAAAAAGAGTGGATGTTAAATGTTCTCACCACAAAAATAAAAACTGTATGAGGTAATACATTTGTTCATTAGCTATATTTATTCCACAGTGTATATATACCTTAAAACATTATGCTGTACACAATATATAATAATTTTTTTAAAAAATGTTGTGTGAAAACCAGGAGGAGACAAAGCCATAGATATAGTGGAAAAATATCCATCATCCTACTTAAATCCCAAGATGCCAGTAGAACAATCCATCAATATTGTGAGAGAATGTGAGTGCACTCAAAGTAAAAATGTCTTCAAGGAGGAAAAAAAAGAACTCAAAGTGGTACTAGTTATCTATTACTGCAAAACTAATCACCACAAACTTGGTAGCTTAAAACAGCACTCTTACTACTACACAGAAATCCAGGAATAGTTTAACTGAATTGTCTGTCTCAGGGTCTCACTCAAGGCGGCAGTCAAAATGTTGGGTGAGGGCTGGGGTCTCAGCTGACAGCTCAGTGCAGGAAGGATCCACTTCCAAGCTCACATGATAGTTGGCAGAATTAGTTCCTTGAGGAATGTTGTACTGAGGGCCTCAGTTACTAGTGGGCTGTTTGCTAAAGGCTTTGTTTAGTGCTTTGGCACTGGGACCTAAACAATATGGCAGCATGCTTCATAAAGTGTTCAAGACAAGAAGACAATAGAGTCTGTTAGGAAGATCGAAATTACAATGCTCTGTAATTTAGTCACGGCTATGACATCCTGTCAGCTTGGCCATATTCAATTGATTAGAAACATCACTAAATAGGCCCACACTCAAGGAGAGGAGATAACACAAGGGCATACTACCTACCAGGGCATGGGATTCATTGGATGCTATCAGAGTTTTCTTGCCATATAAGCAAAAGATAGAATGCCTAATGATGGAGATGGTAAAAAATTTGTAAGAAATTGGAAGTCTATGAAGGCAGTATTATTTTGAAGAACTGATGAAGGATTAGATCAGAACACTCATTTAATATGAATGGTCTCCTTTTGTGAGATATAAATGCAAACATAGCACATCATGTGGTGCTGTAGTGGATGATATTTACATAGTTATAATAATATAAATGTTGTTTATGAATTTTTAACTTTATCTGGAAGATTGAACTATGGCTATAACTCAGAACTTACATATTTTCAATCTTGAAAATACACAAAGTGAAGGTACGGCTCTCTGAAGTTTGGGCAGAGTAACAGGGATGGGGAGGGGAAGAGCAGCTGAGTCTAAAGTTGGTGGAGCAAGAAATGTAGACTTAAGTAAACCACTTAAAAGCAGAAAAGTGACTAACAGAAGAACTAAAATCATCACAATTTAGTGAAAGGAGGAGATAATACTGAAGATAATGAAATCAAGATAAAACTTCATCTAAGTAGACAGCCAAAAGATTTTTTTTTTTTTTTTGAGATGGAGTTTCACTGTTGTTGCCCAGGCTGGAGTGCAATGGGGCCTCAGCTCACTGCAATCTCTGCCTCCCGGGTTCAAGCGATTCTCCTGCCTCAGCCTCCCAAGTAGCTGAGATTGCAGGCATGTGCCACCAGGCCTAGCTAATTTTGTATTTTTAGCAGAGACAGGGATTCACCACATTGTTCAGGCTGGTCTCGAACTCCTGACCTTAGGTGATCCACTTGCCTCAACCTCCCAAAGTTCTGTAATTACAGGCATGAGCCACTACCCCTGGCCCCAAAAGATATCTTAAATTGAAAAAAAAAAAAAAAACCACGAACATAGATGCATAAGCAAGTAGCATATTATTTAGAGGCACAGAAGTATGCACCACCAGAAGAGTTACAACTAAGCATGGTGGCTGGCAAACTAACGTAAGAAACCTCTGCTTGTTATTACGTATCCTCCTATACTTACACTCTGCTATTGTAAAGTTATTTTTCTCACATTCATATAGAAATGTAGTAGTTTATAAAATCTCTTTATTTGTACAGCAGTCTCAAAATTACCTGTGAGCTGGGTGTGGTGGCTCACATTTGTAAACACAGCACTATGGGAGGTCAAGGCAGGTTGATCATGTGAGCTCAGGAGTTCAAAACCAGCTGGCCAACATGGTGAAACCCCATCTCTACTGAAACACAAAAATTAGCTGGGCACAGTGAGGCATGCCTGTAATTCCAGCTATATGGGAGGCTGAGACATGAGAATTGCTTGAACCCAGGAGGTGGAGGTTGCAGTGAGCCAAGAGTGTGCTACAGCATTCCAGCCTGGACAACAGAGTGAGACTCTGTCTCAAAAAAATAAAAATTAAAAAAAGTTACCTGTTGATCTGCCTATAGGGAAAACATGAGCTAAAAAGAAATGAGAATCTGATCTACTGGAAGATTATATTATTCATTGAAAGTTAATTATTAGTAAAATCAATGATTATATTAATCATTTCTACTCTCAATCCAGGTAAGTGTAGTGGAGTTACTGGAAGAAGAGCACTCCTACCAAAAGAATGAAATTGAGCTGCTTGACACTCACAGTTAGGACCAGATCTTCACTCCAGTGGCTAGTCCAAGATGCAGAGACTCTGAGGTCAGGTTGAGCTTCAACACCTTTCTCTTCCTTTTCCAGCTGTGATCCTCCCTTTTTGCAAGTGACACAGACCATGTCTTATGGCCACTAGAAATAGGACAGAAGTGACTGAATTTGTCTTACTGGGCTTGTCCAGCTGGCCAGGGATGCAGCCAGTTATTTTTGGTATTATCCTTGTCATGTACTTGGTTGCAGTTATGGGCAATGCCCTTTTAGTCACTGTTGCTCGATCAGACCCCAAGCTTCAGACTCCCATGTATTTCCTGCTCAGCCAGCTTTCCTTTATTGACATTTTTCTGACAACCATCACTGTTCCTCAGATGCTGGTGCACACACTGTCTGTGAATCAAACTATCTCCTTTAACTGCTGCATAATCCAGCTATTCTTCTTCATGGCTGTGGGCAGCATGGAAGGCCACTTGCTGGCTGCCATGGCATATGATCGCTATGTTGCCATCTGTGATCCCTTAAGATACTCTGCCATTGTCAGCCGTTGCCTCTGTTTGTGCATAACATTGACCTCATGGGTGGTTGTCAGCCTCAACAACCTCCTTTATAGTGTATTGGTAAGTCGCTTAACTTTCTGTGGCAACCAGGTCACCCACTTCTTCTGTGATATCACTCCCCTGCTGCAGCTCTCCTGTACCCGACCAGTGACCAACGAAATGCTGATATTCACTGAGGGTGTAGCTGTGGTGGTCAGCCCCTTCTTCTTCATTTTGGGTTCTTATGCCTGCATTGGTGTTGCAATAACCCACATGCACTCAGTTGCTGCCCTGCGCAAAGCTCTGTCCACTTGTGGCTCCCACATCCTGGTTGTGCTGCTCCTGTATGGCTCTGTGATCCGCATGTACCTCCGACCATCCTCCAGCTACAACTTGTACCAGGATCGCCAAGTAGCCGTCTTCTATACAGTAGTTACCCCTATGCTAAATCCACTAATCTACAGCCTCAGGAACCAGGAGGTTAAAGGAGCTCTTCTAAGGCTTTTTAGGAAGCTCTGCATCTCAGAAAACTTTCAACCTTCTTCCCAGGCAAACAGGGAATGGCGGCACATCTCCTAATATCAAGGAGTTAAGATCTAACTTGAAAATGCCTCAAATAGATGGGGTATTACCCTTAAAAATTGAGGTGAGTCACATTTCTGGTTGAATTCCTTTTGGTTGGATTTGGGAAGAAGCAAGATAAATGGTTCATCTCCTTGTTGTCTGATGTAGAATCTCATAGCATCAAAACTGAAAAGATAAATATATATATATATATAGATAGATATATATAATATGTATATATATATAATTTTTTTTATTGTACTTTAGGTTCTGGGGCACATGTGCAGATCATGCAAGATTGTTGCATAGGTACAAACATGGCAATGTGGTTTTCTGCCTCCATCGCCCTGTCACCTACATCTGGCATTTCTCTCCATGTTATCCCTCCCTGACCTCCCCACTCCCCCACTGTCCCTCCCTTGGGCCCCTCAACAGATTCCAGTGTGTGATGCTCCCCTCCCTGTGTCCATGTGTTCTCATTGTTCAACACCCACCTATGAGTGAGAACATGCGGTGTTTGATTTTCTGTTCTTGTGTTAGTTTACTGAGAACTATGATTTCCAGATTCATCCATGTCCCTACAAAGGACACAAACTCATCGTTACTGAAAAGATATTTTTAAATCACCAAGCCTAAACCTCTAATCTTTAGGTCCAATATGGAGCATGGATGACTACTAAGCAAAATGATAAGAAATCATTATGGTTTTCTTAGCTTTGGTCATTTCAGTAATGGCAGGGCATGCACTATCTTCCAGAGAGAAGTCAAAGTGAGTTACAATACCATTACACAGATGAGTGAGTTCTGAATAAATCATGAAATAGCCTAAGCCTCTCTTAAAATTGTAATGTTTTTAGTCTTGTATTTCAACAACGTCTTACTCACAGTAATAGTAATCAGCTCAATATTTCTAGTGACTGAATTCATCTGTATCTTTTTGTCATCCCAGAAAAGATAGCATAGGTTACTAATAACAACAACTGAAGAAGAGTTGCACAGTGGTGCTAATACGAGGAGCAGGTAGTCAGATTAGGGTCAAACTGTTTGGACATACTGATGTTTTAGATGTAATGTATAAGGGGAAAAGAATAATCAGTAATGCATTGTGAAAACATGTGGAATCATGTTTTATGCCATTTCTTTATATATGGAAGACTGTGGATGGCAGAGAATGTACAGATTTGGTTGAGGGGAAAATGTAGTAACTCTCTGTTGGCCATGTTAGTTTTTTAATATGTATTATATATCTAAATGGAAATGTTTTCTAGATAGTTGAACATAATCCTTGAGGCTCATGGAGAGGTTCTGTCAGAATATAGAAATGTCAGAGGTAACAAAAGGTTGACAATCCTTGAAGCCATGGAACTGGATAAAATCAGCTAGTAAGGGAATATAGAAAATAGAAGGGAATATAGAAAAGAGAAGAAAACTATAGGCAGAGCCCTGAGATGAGTAAGCATGCCAACATTCAGAGGTCTGGAAGAGGAGATCGCAAAGAAAACTGAGTTGTATCCAATGTAGGAAGAAAGGAAGTAAGTCTGGCAAGTCTGAATTCTAAAATACAGTATTTCCAGGGTGGAGGACTGGTCATTCTATCACATATAGTTGAGAGGTCATTAATGAGAACAGATAATTAATTAATAGGTTTGGCAAAATGTAAATTATGGAAACTTTGATAAGAACAGTAAAATGAAGTATTAGGAGAAATACTGCAATTATAGTCATTTTGTGATAAAATTGCAAAAGAGGAAGTAGAGGTTGTGATAATACACACTTTTTAAAAATAATACTTAAGTTCTGGGATACATGTACAGAATGTGTAGGTTTGTTACATACGTATACATGTGCGATGGTGATTTTCTGTACCCATCAACCTGTCATCTACATCAGATATTTTTCCTAATGCTATCTCTCTCCTAGCCCCCCATGCCCCATTGGGCCCCAGTGCATGATGTTCCCCTCCCTGTGTTGTCATTGTTCAACTCCCACTTATGAGTGAGAACATACAGTGTTTGGTTTTCTGTTCTTGCGTTAGTTTGCTGAAAATGATGGTTTCCAGCTTCATCCATGTCACTGCAAAGGACATGAACTCATCCCTTTTTTATGGCTGCATAGTATTCCCCAGTGTGTATGTGCCACATTTTCTTTATCCCGTCTATCATTGTTGGGCATTTGGTTAGTTCCAAGTCTTTGCTATTGTGAATAGTGCTGCAATAAACATACGTGTGCATGTGTCTTTATAGTAGAATGATTTATAATCCTTTGGGTATATATCCAGGAATGGGATTGGGTTCAACATACATAAATCCCTGGGTTCAATGTACATTATAGATGTTATCCATCACATAAACGGAATCAATGACAAAAACCACATGAATATCTCAATGGATGCAGAAAAAGCCTTCAATAAAATTCAACACCCCTTATGCTAAAATCACTCAATAAACTAGGTATTGATGGAATGTGTCTCAAAATAATAAGAGCTATTTATGACAAACCCACAATATCATACTTAATGGGAAAAAGCTGGAAGCATTCCCTTTGAAACTAACACAACACAAGGATGCCCTCTCTCACCACTCCTATTCAACATAGTATTGGAAGTTCTGGCCAGGGCAATCAGGCAAGAGAAAGATAAAAGGTATTCAAATAGGAAGAGAGGAAATCAAATTATCTCTGTTTGCAGATAACATGATTGTATATTTAGAAAACTCCATTGTCTGAGCCCCAAAACTCCTTGAACTGATAGGCAACTTCAGCAAAGTCTCAGGATACAAAATCAATGTGCAAAAATCACAAGCATTCCTATACACTAATAATAGACAAACAGAGAGCCAAATCTTGAGTGAACTCCCATTCACAATTGCTACGAAGAGAATAAAATACCTAGTAATACATCTTACAAGGGATGTGAAGGACCTCTTCAAAGAGAACTACAAACCACTGCTCAAGGAAAATAAGAGAGGACACAAATAAATGGAAAAATATTACATCCTCATGGATAGGCAGGATCAAAATCATGAAAATGGCCATACTGCCCAAAGTAATTTATAAATTCAATGCTATTCCCATCAAACTACCATTGACTTGCTTCACAGAATTAGAAAAAATACTTTAAATTTCATATAGTATGAAAAAGAGCCCATAAAGCCAAGACAATCCTAAGCAAAAAGAATAAAGCTGGAGGCACCATGCTAACTATACACAATGCTACAGTAACCAAAACAGCATGGTACTGGTACCAAAACAGATATATAGACTAATGGAACAGAACAGATTCCTCCGAAATAACACCACATATCTACTACCATCTGATCTTTGACAAACCTGATAAAAACTAGCAATGGGGAAAGGATTCCCTATTTAATAAATGGTCTTGGGAAAACTGGTTAGCCATATGCAGAAAACCAAAACTGAACCCCTTCTTTACATCTTATACAAAAATTAACTCTAGATGGATTAAAGACTTAAACTTAAGACCTAAACCCATAAAAATCCCAGAAGAATCTCCGGGACACAGCAACAGCATTCAGGATATAGATTAAAGAGTTCATAACTAAAACACCAAAAGCAATGGCAAGAAAAGCCAAAATTGACAAATGGAATCTAATTAAAATAAAGAGCTTCTGCACAGCCAAAGAAACTATCATGAGAGTGAACAGGCAGCCAACAGAATAGGAGAAAATTTTTGCAATCTGTCCATCTGACAAAGGACAAATATCCAGAATCTACCAGGAACCCAAACAAGTTTACAAGAAGAAAACAAAGAACCCCATCAAAAAGTGGGCAGAGGATATGAACAGACACTTTTCAAAAGAAGACATTTACGTGGCCAAGAAACATATTTTTAAAAAGCTCATAATCACTGGTCATTAGAGAAATGCAAATTAAAACCACAATGAGATACTATCTCATGCCAGTTAGAATGGTGATCATTAAAAAGTCAGGAGACAAGATGCTGGAGAGGATGTGGAGAAATAGGAATGCTTTTTGACTGTTGGTGGGAGTGTAAATTAGCTCAACCATTGTGGAAGAAAACAGTATGGCAATTCCCCAAGGATCTAGAAATAGAAATACCATTTGACCCAGCAATCCTATTACTGGGTATATACCCAAAGGATTATAAATCTTTCTACTATAAAGATACATGTACACGTATGTTTATTGCAGCACTATTTAATTGTAATTGTCCAAAGACTTGGAACTAACCCAAATGCTCAACAATGATAGACTGGATAAAGAAAATGTGATATATATACACCATGGAATACTATGTAGCCATAAAAAAGATGAGTTAGTGTCCTTTGTAGGGACATGGATGAAGCTGGAAACCATCATTTTCAGCAAACTAACACAGGAACAGAAAACCAAACTCAGCATGTCCTCACTCATAAGTGGAAGTTGAACAATGAGAACGTATGGGAAGAGGGAGGGGAACATCACACGGGGGCCTGTTGGGGGGCGGTGAGGGACAAGAGGAAGGATAGCATTAGGAGAAATACCTAATATAGATGACAGGTTGATGGGTGCAGCAAACCACCATGGCACGTGTACACCTATGTAACAAACCTGCACATTCTGCATATGTATCCAAGAACTTAAAGTACAATAATAATAATGAAAAGTAAAAAGTTGTCACTACAAAGTTTTATTGGCTGGATTCTTATATTGGCTCTATCTAGCAAAAGTGATCTTGTTCCAGGAAGTCTTGTGAGAAAGACTAAGAAGACTTTAGTTCCAGGTAACAACTATTTACTGAATTAGCCAAATTAGTGGCCAGCATAAATTATGAGATGCTATCAACTTGTTGATATCATCAATTTTATACTACTCCTTCTAAGGCCGATCATGGTGGCTCATGCCTGTAATCCCAGCACTTTGGGAGGCTGAGGTGGATGGAAGAAATAAATAAATAAAATGTGTTATATACACATGATGGAATATTCTTCATCTTTAAGAGCGAAGGAAATTCTGTGACATGTGATAACACTGATAAAACTTGAGGGTATCATGCTAAATGAAATAAGACCTTCACAGAAAGACAAATGCTGCATGACTTCATTTATATGTGAACCCTAACAAAGTTGAACTTACAGAGGCACAGAGTGGAACAGTGGTTGCTAGAGGTTAAGGGAAAAATAAAAAAGGAGGAGTTATTAATCAGTAGGTATAAGGGACTTATTCTTGAATACGAGTATAAACTCAGTGTTTAAGTGAAGAAGGCTATAAATTAGTATGACACACATTTTACCCCTAGGTTCATTTTGTGATCTGTCTGTGTTCTGTA